ACTTGTAAGTCTCGAACCATATGTATGCAGGAATCATCACAAGTGCTTCGTTCGCCAATAGGCACATAAAGATGGTGATTATAGGTACATAAGGAACCAAACTCATTCCTGAGGCCTAGTATGAAGTAGAAAATTAGCGACCACGAAATGGACAACAGAAATACGAAGGGAATATTGGCTAGGTACTGGCCTAGTAGGAAAACCAGTGTCCCGGAATGCCAATTTGAATCCTCATGAAAATATATCTGCATAGGAGGAAACAGTGTGTTGATATGGTTTTTGGTGCTTATTGTTTTCACCAACATATTCTAGGTATAAATCACATATTCTTCAGTTAAAATTATTAGAAAGGAAGTGGCCATAATGTTGCAATTCTGCTTTAAAGAAGAAGAAAAACCGACCTTGATCTCATCAGTATGAGCAGTCACTCCACAAACACTCAGAAGGATGACAAATGAAACAAACACAAATATTGCAGAAATCCTAACCTGTCAAAACAATGCGAACATTTAGCGTCAAATCGTAAATACCGTAAATTTACTCGAGAATAGAAATGTCCAGTAAATTGAAATGTAATTCTGCACTGACACTAAACACTACAGATGACAATGACTGACCAATGTTGATAAATATGGTGCCAAGTTAGTGAGCAATATTAGAAGTACTTCCACGACATACGAATTACTCCTTTAGATAAAATTATTAGAAAGGAAGTGGCCATACTGTTGCAATTCTGTATTAAAGAAGAAGAAAAACCGACCTTGATCTCATCAGTATGAGCAGTCACTCCACAAACACTCAGAAGGACAACAAATGAAACAAAGACAAATATTGCAGAAATCCTAACCTGTCAGAACAATGCGACCTTTGAGCATCAATTAGTAAATACCATAAATTTACTCAAGAATAGAAATGTCCAGTAAATTAAAATGTAATACTGCAGTGACACTAACCACTACAGATGACAATGACTGACCAATGTCGATAAATATGGTGCCAATTGAGAGAGCAATAAGCATATACAATACAAGTCTGCTCCAGAAGTACTTCCAGTCTCTTGACACAATTAACAACGATCTCTCCAAGTGACAATACCAATTCTTGCTACATCACTGGCTCTTCCTTTACTTTTCAAATAAGGACCTTCCTACATTACACCTTGTTTCGTTATGGTTTATGGATATTGCAGTGTCATATTTCGCACAGAGGATGTCAATCTAACATAGTTGATTGTGGCATTCCTACTCTATGATTAGCGACAAGACAAATATGCAGTAGTTTAGTACCTTCTCAATCAATTTTGCAATCGTTGATTCAACAAGGGAGCTTCAGCCAATGACTTGTACGTCGCTTTTAATGTCCGGATTGGTACAACAGTGTCCATGCTCATTGATGAGATATTCCTTGATCATCATGTTAATAACTACAAAGCTTTTTATTTCTCACGACGAACGAACATTTGGCCATCAAGTTGACTAAAATGGTTGGACATAATATCAGAATTTATGTCATATCAAAATCAAAATATACCTGTAGATTTTTTGCACATGGCTATGATACTGTCGAAGTCGGTATGATTTCCCTTAGGAAGTCGTCAGATGGACTTTGCATGATTGAACATGGAAACCCAGCATTTGAGAAGTGCCATAACAGAACAAGGCCAAGTAAGGAGAGTCCTTAAAACCATAGGATGAGATATGGAAAACAGGGCCATCTACAACAGGAATAAAGATGTAGCAATAAGGATCATACAAGAAAAGAGACACTGTTTTCATGGATATATAGTTTTTTAAAAGGGATATATATGTGACCGCAGGACAATTGAATGGGCTGCAGTAATACGGATCATACAAGAAAGGATAAATTACTCTCATGAATATATAGTGAGCGTGCACTACCTTGTGCAGGCTTGTTTGTTCACAATTCATCATGGACATAGACATCGTTGATTGAGTGAATCAAGCAAATAGCATCCCACTCGAGTAACAACTCATGCGATATTTAGCTTGGACTCACCGTGTATCTAATGTTGAAAGAATTACCATAAATGACAGTAATGTTGAATGAATTAGCAAAATAATTTAGTGATACTATAAACTTGGTGGCATTATTATGTAAGCCATTACCGCTCATTCTCACCTCACTGACTCATAACGATCAAGCATAAAAACCACATGATCTAACCATGGACAAAGACAAATACAAAATGGCAAAATAAAACTATAAATAGAACTGTAGCAACACGATTGCGTATGAACAAAAATTACATGGCAGTGTGATGATAATGTGCATTCAACCCTGCTTTTTTTTACAGGCCACTTGCAATTGGACAAGGATTTAAATCATCAAAAGTTCAATTCAATACATCAGTCCGCAACAAGTGTGTACCTGCAATGAAATAATGATCATCAAATTACAATAGAGAAACATGGTAATGTTTGGCGTGTATCACTAATTCACCATCAGAATCATTACAATACATTGAGCTATTAGAAAAATAAGAAGTCTTTGCAATGGCAGGTAGCACGCACATAAGCATCCCGTCGTTCCCATCCACACTCAGCACCATCATTTGTACCTGCACCCTGAAGTCACTGAATGAGTTTCTGAACACACAAAAGTAAAGCAGCCACTCTACCATGTATACACAGGCAGCAAACAGCATAGATTGAGTGAGTGTATGATTACGTTAAACTTCATACACAACATGACGTGTTATAGATGATCATGTAGTCTTCGTATACATATTCGTACACCCATCAGGTGATAAACAAAAGGTATGTATTAGGTCGTTCTGTGTGTATGGTTCACGCATGAGAGGGATTTTGGCCGCCTCATAGAAAATCAGTGCATGCTAAAAACTTATTAGTTGGTCCTTCATGAATCCGATCCATAGAAAATGAGTTAGCGACGACCTTGCCATCATCGGGGAGTTCTGCACCTGCCGCAGCCGCAGATCGAGAAGGTCACGTGGGGAGACTCAGATCCGGCTACCCTATGGGATCTGTTGTTCCAGGCCAGCGGGTGGGATTCGGATCCTCCGCCGCCGGGCACGGCAGCAGCAACACGTGGAGGAGAAGTAGCAGACGTCCTGGGTGGACATGGGCGCAGGAGAACGAACTCGCCGCCGCTGCAGCACGCTAGGCAACTGTCGCGGCCACAAACTATGAGAAGGAGGAGGCCAACAAGGCAGGGGCGATGTCAAGTTGAGATGCGAGCAACACCGCATCGGGATGATGAAGGAGAGGCTACGTGACTCCAAGGTGAGGCCGGCGTTGGTGTGTAGGGAGGGTGGCGGCGGACACGTTTTGAGGTGACGCGCATCCTCGTCTCCCTCATCTCCTCCCGCGATCATGCTGCATCCAGATCGGGCGAAAAGATAAACGAGGGGTTAAACGGGAGACATGCGGCGGCTAGGGCTCGCGGAAGGGATGGGTCGGCGGCGGCGAAGGGATGGATCGGCGGCGGCGGCAGCGAAGGCATGGATCTGGTGTGAAGGGGTGGAGGGCGGCGGTGAATGATCTGCTGTGCGGGTCGTGCGTGCTAGACTACTGTGGTTCTCGCTCGTACGTGCGTGCGAATTGATGCCTTTTTTTTGCTGGTTTTTTGTCGTAGGTTCGACAGAGGTGGGAGGACATACGAAAAAAACCCAGCGAAAGGTGGGACGAAAATAAACCGTGGAGACTATTCACCAACTGCTCCATTAGGAGTAGAGATGCTCTGCGCTGCTATCACCTTTCAACAGTCTTAGTCTTTTCTTGGTACCAGTATAATTCTCCTCAGGATGAAGTTTAAATAACTATTACTACCTCTGTCCCAATAAGACGTTTTTGCAGTTCAAATAAGACGTTTAGTACTTTTTTAGCTAACCCCTCCCCCCCCTCCCCCAGCACCACTGGCAGGTGCAGCTTGTGCACCATATTCTGGGGTTTTTCTAGACCTAGTTACAATGCCGCATGTCCTCGAGTATTTAAAAAACGAAACCCCATTCTTGAAAGTATTCTGTTTTTTTCCTCTTTTATTTGTATTTTACCAATTTCAATAATATCTTAACCTGACTAGCTTGTGCCAAGCTCTCTTAACTAGTCTTGAAAATCAGGATGTTGGAGCCAATGCAGCTCAGATGTGAATTTGAGTGGGCTGTTATGACTGAGATCTATCATTCATTTTCCATTTCTACATGCGCGCTTCCAATCCCAAAAAGAACATACCACTTTGTTTATTTATACATTCTTACCCTTTAGACTTTGTGATTTAGGGGTATAGAAGGCCCTGAATCCTCTTTTTGAAACATTCGAATCATATTTTACTTTACTAGCGCACTTTTTCTGTGAACTCAAAGGAATAAACTTTGCTGCAAGCTTTCTAAATAATCATATCGATGACTTGGTGAAATCTCACCGAGTCATCTCTTATATTAGCTAGCACCCATACATCTAGCTTTTCTCATGATGTCTCTCTATCTGGTAAAGTTTTAAAGGTGTTGGAACGTTTAGTTGTACCTTTCAAATTTCTCTTGTCAGTCTTTCAGCTTTGACTTGTCTCGTGACTGGGAAGGCTCTTGGTCCTTCTAGGTTGCTCAATTGAGTTGTTTTTCTACTTTTTTTGTGTTTCAGCACATTTTATCCATCATTTGTGAAGCTTCATCATTTACTTTAGTATTGTTAAGATCACCTTTCTTTGGTATGATCATACCTTCTTCATTAGGCTTCCTGTTTTGCATATCGTCTGCATATGGTTCATGATCATGTTCACCTTAGTGGCTCCAACTGTATCACCAACTTTAGTCTTTTCGTCAGCCCCCATGACCTTAGCAGGAGCAGATTTGGATTTGGTGGTAGGTTTTGGGCATAGTGCTTACCGGGACGAGTAGAAAGCATTCTTATAGCAAATTAATATTGTCAACACTCTTGTAAATATTTTTAAGCTTTCTTCTCTTGTTGGAGTTTCTTTTACATTTTCACCACCATCTTTATCATTTGAATCGTTTTAATTTACAGGTTGGTATCTTGCACATGCGGAAAGGTCGCAAAGGTCCGAGGCGCACTTTAAGTCTGAGATTAAATGTATCAGACGACGTAGAGGTGTAAACAAGTGGTATGCATCCTTGCAGTTACTATGAAGCTTCTAGCAAAATGCATATGGATTTGGGGCTCGGTCTGTCTTAACAATGAAATTCTGTTGTCCAGATTTCTGACTTGGCTCTGCAACAGACCGTGCCGAGTCCATCGTTGGTGGGATCTTCGCGCACCTGCACAGTGAAACGGCACTCACCAAGGAAGGTTGAATACGATGAAAATTCTAAGATTAATGTACAGTTTTGCAAAATTGATCTGGGAAGGTTTTCTCTTAGTTTTTTTTGAAGGATAGAGAGTGGGGAGAGTAGAGGTGCATGTGATCTGCAAACAAGATTTATAGATTGCATGGCTGTCTAGGCCGGCATTTTAAGCTGCGAGAACGGATCAGTGGACAGTTTGTATTCTGTGTCTGCATGTATCGTAAGCAGAGTCAAGCTCAGATATTTAGAAGAAAACATTCTCTTGGAGCGGAGCCCAATTCCTCGCATTGGACACCTGTTGTCTGAAGTGCATAGTTTGAAGCCGTGTTTGACAGACAGACATTTGATTCTTAGTTTTTTCTCCGGCCGGCTCGGTGCGTCGTCCAAGCCTGCTACATGAGCCGTTCAGTTCGGAGCAACAGAAAATCGTCGTGGTCGCCGAGGACGACATGGAACGCAGGGGTTGGCTTTGTGTAATTGCGTTAATGGGCCGCTGTATGGCCCCTTGAATCCCTCGGCCTTTCTAACGCCGATGAGTCTGCAAATAGGAGTATTTGGTGGCAACGTGTGATCTGTTTTGACCTGGTAACCGCGTCCAGTTTAGTCCCACATGGAAACATTGAGAAGAACGGCTCGGGGAAGATGTGTATATATGTGGAGGGTATGACAACGTTGAAACTTACTTACCTGGACGGGGTCTATGGGTGATCAATAAGACTCATGGCATAGACCAATTGCTCACATTGTACTTTATGAGCGTGTTGATCACTTTGTGAGCGTGTTGATCTACCATCTCCCCTTTGTGGGAGAGTGGACGTCGTAATTTGTGATGGGGTACGCGCTGCCAAGTTTTTAAATTAAAATTTGTGTTTATTTCGAATTTGAATACATTTTTTTTGATAAACTTGTTGTATTTTTTTTTGAGATAATCATGTCCAGAAGTTGATGAAGAGATTTTCTATTGAGGGGTCTGGATGTATAACAAGGCTCACATGGCCTAGATCAATGGCTCACATTCATGATGATCTACCATCGCCCCTTAATTGCAGAGTGAATGTCGTAATTTTCAAATTTTCTATAGTTTTTTGTGTTCTACTCTTGTTATTTTTCCTTGGTGCAAACCTTGTTTTGAATTTAAAATCTATCATTTTCTTATAATGCTAATTTTCATGCTTTGGTAAGCTTCCAAAAACTATTTCACCACGAATTTGCAATCGCAATGAATACACATATCCAGGAAAATGGAGTCAATGAATGCTAATTAGATTGGTGGTGCAGGCCCGAAAAACTGTCCAAGTGGTGAAGATAGTTGAGAGGCAAGCACAAAGGAATTCTAAGATTAATGCATTGTTTTGCAAAATTGATCTAGGAAGGTTTCTTTTGTTGGTTTTGTTTAGCTGCTGGAGTGCTCATATTTTTTGGAGGGATAGGAAGTAGAGAGTAGAGGTGCATGTGATCTGCAAACATGTATAGATTGCATTTAAGCTGCGAGCACGGAACCGTAGATAGTTTGTAGTTTCTGTCAATACATGTATTGGAAGCAGAGTCGGGTTCAGTTTTGAGAACGTAAGAATAATATTCTCTTGGAGCAGAGCCCAATTCCTCGCGTTGGACACCTGTTGGAGCCCAATTCTTCATCTTTTCTTGAAAATCATTCTCTCGTGACGTTCGATGCACTTTAATGAAATCATTCATACGTGTCTGTGGTTTGAAACCATGGATCCAGCATCCTACCCAACCGCATTAGACAAGCCCTGCACGAGCAGAAATATAGCACTACCGTATGCGACTCGGCACCAAACCGCTGGCAAGTAGGCGTTGCGATTCTACGGCGGTTGGAACTTGGAAGGCTCACTCATCGCCCTCCGACTGCAGCACGAGTTGACATCGATTTAACAGGCCTTCTTCCCCTCCGGTCGGCCAGCATCTGCTCACACAAATCTACAGACGTATATCAGCTCTTCAGCTGTGGAGAGTGGCAAGAATTCATCGACGGGTGTTCCATGGTTGCTCCTTGCTCGTGGTCGGGCTCGATCCTGATTTTTTTTGAGGATTACCAAGCTTTATTAATCAAATACAACAGATTGTGGGATACAAGTAAGATCAGGGGATTGGCCAAACCAAACGTGCCGTCCCAGACCTAAAGACAAAGGGTGCTTGGCTAGTTTATGAGCTTCTATATTCACCCTACGACTTTCAAAAGAAAATTTACATTAAAACAAACTGGAATATGAGTTGATCTCACTAATAATTGCTCCATTCCCACCTTTGGATCTGGTGTTTATCTTTTGAACAACTTGCTTGGCATCTGATGCTATGATCATATGTTGTAGTTGGAGGTCTTGTGCCAATGCGAGTGCCTCTCTGCAGGCTATGGTCTCTTTTTTTTAAATAAATCGTTAGCTTTATTAATTGCGAATAACAGTTACATGGTCCATAAGAAGAGGTACAATTTCATCCATGGGTTCCTCAAAATATTCATTTGTTACGGAAATTTTTGCTAATCTAGCTAGTTCATGAGCCACCCTATTTGCCTCTCTATTACAATGCTCAAACCTAGTAAGAGAGAAATCACAAGCCAAAAAATAGCAATCATCAAAAACCGCCGCCGCCGCTCCCGCTGATTGTCCTCCATTCTTCATTGTGTTGATGACTTCAATATTGTCTGAGTTGACATCTAGGCGATTGCAGCCCGCCCTCTGTGCAAGTAATAATCTAAACCTTAGGGCCAAAACTTCCGCTGTCGGAACATCTGCACACCAGTCAAACTTCCAGTTTCCGCCGGCAATAAACCTTCCTTTATCATCTCTGAGAACAGCCCCAGCTGTACCACTAAGCCGATCATGATCAAACAAAGCATCAGTATTTAGCTTAACAAGTCCCATAGGAGGTTTGCTCCATCCTCCTTTTTTAATAGATGCATTCAGGGAATGGGCATTTACATAGTTTGTTGTTATTGCCCTAATCCCCATGGAGGATAGTTGTGCGTTTTGAGCCTTACCTTCATGAACCAGCCTATGTATATCCCACCATAAATACCAAGCGGTTATAGCTATTAGTTCACGTACATTCTGGATTCCTAGAGTAGCTATTTCAGTTTCTGGCTTCAGAAGTAAAAATTCAAGGATTGCTTCTCCTGCCCTATCAACAACACATGCTTCTTTAATCACCCCCCACAACCCCAATTTTTTCCAAACCTCTTTTGCCTTCTGACAGAGGAACAATACGTGTTTCGTGTCTTCCTGTTCATTTGTGCATGAGGGGCATATAGGCGTGACCTTGATGTGTCTATTGGCCAGTGTAACGCGACATGGGAGTGTACCATGTAACGTACGCCAAATAAAGATTTTTACCTTTGCCGGACAAGACAATTTCCAAATCTTCCCCCAAATAGGGTTGACATTGATCCTACCCATGCCGTTTGTATACTGCAACTTCTTTCCATGCTGTTGGTTCCATTCCTCCAAATAGGCAGAGCGAACAGTGAACAAACCATTTTTCGTAAAACTCCATGCAATGAAGTCTTCCATGGTATGCATAGGAAGGGGAATGGCGAGGACCCTTTGAACATCAATCGGCCACAAAGTTTGTCTCACCAAATCTTTGTCCCAACAATTCATAACTGGATCAATGAGATCAGCTACCTTTGACAAGAGTTGCAGGCTATGGTCTCCAGAGTAGAGGGATCATCAACTCCCTCTATGACCAATGACGAGCTTCCCAGGAAATTGCCTTGGCTGTCTCGAGAAACAGCCGCTGCAGAGCCCCCTCTTCCTTTTAGAACTGCGGTATCAACGTGGATTTTCACAAAACCAGCCGGTGGTGCTTTGGGTCGTAGAGGATGGGTGGCCCTTGATCCGCCCAAATGCATATGTGTAAGTTGATTCTCCCTGATCATGTTTAGCTCGCTGATGAATCTGTGAATGAATGCATGTATGGACTGAGGACTCTGGAAGACTCCTTCATGAATAGCTTTGCGGCGAGCCGACCAAAGCGCCCAAAGCGTTACTGACAGCTGCATATACTGATCATGGGACAACACTTCCATCAGATTGAATAGCCACGTCTTTGCGCTGGGCTCGGTGTTGGTTGACATTTTATGTAGTAGCTCATCGTCAGCGAGAGCCCACGTGCACCTCGACATGGTGCAGTCCAAAAGCGAATGTCTCCATGAGTCTGGCACTCCGCAGAGACCACACGAGGATGTGGTTGACATGTGTCTATGGGCCCTCACATCTTCTGTCGGCAGTGAGTGCTTGGACAGTCACCAGAGGAACATTCTCACCTTCCCCGGTACGGTTGTTTTCCACAGAAACTTCCATGAGTTTTGCTCAACATTAGGACTTGAAGAACCCGCCTCCTCATGCAGCCATGCTTCTCACCTCAGCTTGGTTTCCACCAACATTTTGTATGCTATTTTAACTCAGAAGTTTCCATGGCGCTCAAAGTGCCAACTCCAGAAATCTGCCAAGTTCTGTGTGCATAAGGGAATAGATAATATGATCTCAGCGTCCATAGGCATTAAAATCTGCTGTACGAGCTGCCGGTTCCATGTGGCCGATGTGGCATCTATGAGATCGGCCACCAACTCCGAAGGATTTGCAATACGACACCCATACGGTCTCATCGTTTCATCTCGGGGAATCCAATTATCATCCCATATGCGCGTAGTCTGGCCGTTTCCTATACACTTTATTATTCCCTATTTCAGAATATCACGACCCTCCACAATAGCTCTCCATACTTGGCTTGGATGTCCCCCTAAGTTTGCCTCCAATATGTTGCTGTTGGGGTAATAGACACTTTTTAGGA